TGTATTTCCATTCTATTTGCGGTGACATCATTGTCAGCGTTGGGTGGTCCTGGGCTGCTTAGACTCCCGGTCTGTCCCGCCTTTCCAAGCTGCATCATTTGATTGACAGCTCATCACGCTTCCCTGTCTGTTCTGTCCATCCATACTGGCATGAACGTCCACCTTGGGGTCCCTGCCCACAGTCCCACCCACCGCCATCAATAATGCCCCACAGCATTATGGGACTTCACAGAGGTGTCTGGAAAAGGGCACCTCAGTAATACCTCCTCCCAAAGCTGATGTCCAGCATTTTCTAGCTCTTTCCACCCCAGCTTGACTGTCTCCGCCTCCTTTCATTCATTGGATTTCAGTTCTTTCCATCAATGAGGCTCAGCACCACATGCGGGCGTTACCTAGGGTGGTGCATGCAAATACAGCCTGCCTAGGAACACCCTCTCCACCAGACTAACACCTGGGATTGTAATATTTGCATAACTCCTCCCAAATGCCAGCCCACTGCTTGCATAAGAGCTTAGGGGTCCTGGGAGGAGTACTGAGGCAGGGTGCTGTGACGTTTTCACACGGAAGCACCCTGACGGCCCCACCCACCAGCCATGATCTGCCTGCATTGTATAGGGAGGCACAGGCACCCAGTGATGACATCATAGGTATAATGCAAAGGTTTTATTTTAAAAAAATGTCATTATCATGTTGATGACGGGGGAGGGGGGGACCAGGGAAGGCCAAATATAAGCAGATTAAATGTCGGCTGTAAATCTGTGATGTAAGTTCTGTGTGGTTGCAATAACGAAGCTCTTTGTGTTTTCCGCCTGCGTTGTGGATGCATGGTAGTCCTCCAGCGAAGCTCAAAACAAGGTAACGCACCGCGTAGTCCGCCTGCTCTAGAGCGCCATCTGCCAACTGTGCAAAGCAGCGTTCCCAACTCGTAGCTTGTGAGCCCCGGGCAGACATAGGGAGCCGGGACAGACACACAGGGGGCAAGGGAAGCGATACTCACGGTTCTGCTTATACCAAATTGACTCATAATAGCTTCAGTCTTTGGCCATTCAGCTGTGGGATTGGAGTGTTACATTTCATAGCTCCGCCCACGCGACGCGGCCATTTCAAGGAGGTGGTACACAAAGCCTGGTGGGCTTAAAGCTGAACTCCGGGCAGATATAAAAGACACAGATTAATGCAGCTCTCTATTCAGCAATACATCATCAGTGTGATTACCTTAATTTGTCTCAGTATCATACTCTTGGAGTCCATGTACAGCAGAGCTCAGACTGGGGGAGGGAGAAGCAGCACCAGGAGCTTTGAGTGGGCTGGCCAAAAACAGACTCTCCATTGCTGCCGTATAGTACCATATGGATTCAATATATGAAGGGAGCCATCTGAGTAATAAAAAACCTACCCGTAAAAGTAAGTCCAAATACAAGTGTATTCAAATGACAGATTGTTTATAAACCAACGCATTTCAGGGTTGTAACCCCGCCCCCTTCATCCGTGCTTAGGAAAAGGAAACAAAGAATGTATGTGGACTCAATCAATATCAATCAGTAATCAATATATATTTGGGTGTTATTAAAAAAGTTGTTCGTTTGAACAGGAGCTTTTTTTTTTTGTTTCATTTTCATAAACCCTGAAGAAGGGGCGGAGCTTGGCCCCTGAAACGCGTTGGTTTATATACAGTAAACTTGTATCCAGACTTGAATATCATGGTGTGGCGCTTCATTTCTTCACTCATCCCTATCACAACCCAAAAGATCAAAGGAACTCTACAGAGTGCAGAAGCTGCCAGCCAAATATTCCAGTTCTGTGTATTTACTGTACTGTCAGACTATTGGATGATATCAAATAAGCGTGTAAGGAAACCTCCAATGCTGTACATCCGCCCTTCCAAACTCCGAATCATAGAGGCTGCCCCGAGCAACCGGAGATGGAAAAGGGAGTCTCATGTGACCCACAAGCCACGGGTTGGAGGCTGTTAGTGTAGACCTGACTTCCTGTCTCCATTGCTTATGTCTGTAGATTCTAGAACAGTAAACCTCATTCATCCCGTCAAAGCTGAACTCCGGGAGCAGCAGATATTGTCCTCCTCCAATGTATTCCTCCTGAATCTCTGTGTATTTCTTCCGGATCTGTGCAGTGATCCAGTGTGAGACTTCCTGTAATAAAGACCGCTCACTGCGGCTCTCTCTCCTTGTGCAGGGTGACTGGTCTTGTCTCCGCCCCCTCCTGTAATAAAGACCGCTCACTGCGGCTCTCTCTCCTTCTGCAGGGTGACTGGTCTTGTCTCCGCCCCCTCCTATAATAAAGACCGGTCACTGCTGCTCTCCCTTATTGTGCAGGGTGACTGGTCTCGTCTCCACCCCTCTTGTAGTTATTTGCGTATAGCCTGTAGTGGGTGGAGCCTGACGGGCCCCTCCTACAGCTCTGTTCTGTGCACAGGCTATGTACAGCAGTGATCATGCCACTGCTACTTTTATAGGGTGATAGCTGGGTTTGCAGGCATTGGTGCATGCAAATATATATATATATATAATATGTGTATTTATTGAGGAATATATTTAAATTCAAGTTTTTGTGCCCGGAGTTCAGCTTTCATTTCCTGCGCCTCCATCGCTTATGTCTGTAGATTTTAGCACAGTAGACCGCGTACGATACGTTTATATGGAAATCTGTCACTGATTGTTTCATGTTAGCAACAGTTACAGGGACACGTGAGGTAACGCTAAAACCACAAAGAAACAGACCCAAAAGTGTTATTTGTTCACCTCTAGGGAGAATTTCCCTCACTTCCTGTCCCTGTGATACCCATACAGGAAATTAGGAGTCTGGTTGTCACCAATACAAGGAAGACAGTCCGTAAATAACAATTTTGTCAGCAGGGCCGGATTTCCCACAAGGCCAACCAAGGCCTGGCCTTGGGGCAGCAGGGAGTAGAGGGCCAGCAGGGAGTAGAGGGGGAGTAGAGGGGCAGCGGGGAGTAGAGGGGTAGCAGGGAGTAGAGGGGTAGCAGGGAGTAGAGGGGTGGAAGGGAGTAGAAGGGTGGAAGGGAGTAGAAGGGTGGAAGGGAGTAGAAGGGTGGAAGGGAGTAGAGGGGT